TTAAGGAAATTCATGAAAATTCAACGGGTGAAAAAAGAGGTGAGAAAACGGGTGAGATCTAACATGCTACCATAAAAATATTTTTTGGTTCATTTACACTCATTGCGATGAAGAAGTCTTGACATTTTCCGACTGTTGTCGAAATGTCATGTTGTCACCATTTTTTAAAAGAAGTTAGTTTACCTGGTGACACATGGTTACCCGGTGACATGGTGACCCCTTCAACGGGTGAAAAAACAGGTGAAAAAACAGGTGAGATCTTCACCTCTTCACCTAAATATATTTTTGGTTCATTTACACTCATTGCGATGAAGAAGTCTTGACATTTTCCCGACTGTTGTCGAAATGTCATGTTGTCACCATTTTCAAAAAGATGTTAAATGACCGAGTGACCGAGTGACATGGTGACCCTTCAGTAAACATCTCATTTTAACTCACTTTTTTTCTATCTTAAGGAAATTCATAGAAAATTCAGAGGAGGGTGAAAAATTAGGTGAGAAAAGAGGTGAGATCTAACATGCTAACATAAACTCACTTTTTCAGCACTTTTCCGTAGTTGTATATGAAAGACAATTCGAGATAAAAGTCATAGTACAATGGAATAATATGTTGCACACCATTGTTGTGAACCAAACTTGAAAGTCAGAGAAACTGTTACTAGGTGGTTCGTAGAATTTAGAAGCAAAGTCATAAAAGTCTTACCAATACATAGAAAACTATTGTTGCTTGAACTGAAACTTGCATGACACATAAACATTTTGAGGGTCAAACAACGTTTCTATAAACTGTCAAATCTGCTGGTGGAAGTATAAATTTAAATGGACCATCTGGTGGTAATGGTTCGTTCTGGTTTAGTAACCGAAGAAATTGTGCCCAAGAACGTTTGTCTACTTTCCAAAATAAAAACTCTGTATCTCTTGAGGGTTAATTTCAATCTTTTGAAATGAAACGGTGGAGTTCATCTTGTCATATTCTAGTTTCAGATAGTATGTTCCATTTAGTAAAGAGTCGTATTTTTCTTGAAATTCCCAATAGTATTTGTTCATTTGAGTTTGAAAGTCATTTAGAGTTTTCTCAAGACTTTCGTCTGAACGAACTGTAAAGATTCTCATTTCATCAAAATTGTTCTATTGAAATGGACCTTTATACTGCCACATGAAAATATACTGCGAACATAAATGCGTTAGTTCTATTTGAAAACAAAACTCTTCTAAATCCTATTGCCTTTGCATCTGAAGGACTTTGAAGCCAACGAATTGGATAGTCAAACTGTATGCTCGGGATGAAATTTCTTCATCTGAAATAGTCCTACAGCATTTGTAAAGATATAGTCTAACGGTTTTGTATCTGCTACTTTTGTTCTTTGTTTTTCAACCTGAAGCATTTAATATATGTAAAATATATTTGTTTTAAAATGGTATGCCATTTCATATTTCTCATCTAACAAACAAGTTTCCCAACGGTCTTCTCCAACAAACTCAGCGTACAGTTCAAATAAAATAAAAAAAATGTCACTTTTTGAAAAACGTTTTTACTTCATGCAATGTTTTATTTCTGTGCCGTCTTCAGTATGCCCCAGTACTTACGCTTGGAGAGGACATGAACTTCGGAAAATACCTTATCTAGCTTAAAACAGCCCATCTTTTCACCGACACATTCCATTTCAATGAGTTTGTTGTATCCTTCTTTCGTTCGTCATGAGTGCGTCAATGTTCTCTCATAGTACCTTCACTTTGGATTTGACTTCGGAGAAGAATTTGTTGTAGTTGTCAAGTCAATGTCAGACTTATTTCTGAAGGGGAAGTATCCAGCATGTTGTCTGACTGCTTGAGGGTTAGGTTGGTACCATTCGAACTTGACACTTGCAATTCCTTCAATTGCATTCAAATGTCTGAGTCGGGAGTCAACCATTTGTTCTCTCTTTGTAGTCTTGAAAGCGTCAAGAAGCATTGCAGCTGTTTGTTCATTGCCATGTGCATAGTAAATGTGACCATCCAAATCTGTTATGGTCAATCTGAGATTGTGTCCTTTCTTATTTCCGTCTTGTATGGCAGCAAGTACACCATGAAGCCTTCTTTTTGTTCTTTCCTTCGTCAAGTTTACTGTAAAGGTTCGACCAGAAGTAATTTGACTTCTAACTTCACGGTACTTCTCATATGCATATCTTGTTCTTTCCATGGGAGCATGACCATCCTCTGCACTACCTTTTTTCCTTCTCAAAGGATGCAATTGTTCGTCATGTTTCCAGTAGAATCTGCAAAGCCGTCGTGTCCTTCAACTTGAGGTTCACTAACATCGAAAGGCATGTCCATAAGACGTTCTTCTTCTAACCTCTCTAGTCTGTTTGGATAATTTGCACGTGCTGTTTCCAAATCCATTTCGTAGCGAAGACCAGACAATTTGTCATAGACTTTTAATGGGTCTTCCCTTCCTATATTTAAAATTCTTCGAAACTCTCCAACCATATCTTTTGCAACTCTGCTTTTTATTCTAGCAGATTTTCTATCCATTCTATATGGGGCATTTTTATAAAAATAAAAAATATTTTTTTTCTCTTTATTAACATAACGCCTGCTGCAATAAGTCTTTGACGCCAACCCATACCAGCTAATGAAGGTTGACTTGGTTTAGTTTGGAACTAAACTTTGGTTTTTGGTTTATCTTCAGTTTTTGGTTTCTCTTCTTCTACGCGTTTTTTCGTCACTTTTCGGTTTACTCTGACTTATCCTTCACCTCGCAGGAAAGTTGTGTCGTCAACATCTTCATAAATATATATGACATTTGTTTTTTGTTTTCCTTTACAACTTTTTGTGTTTGGTTGTAAAGTTTAGAAGATATCTTTCTGACTCGTTAAGTCAATGAGATGTTCTATAATGAACTGTTGTCAGTGAAGTAAACTTTTCCATCTGTTGTCTCGGAAAGCTCCTTCAGACTTCAATATTTTATTTGTGAGAGTCTGTTTCTTTTTTGAGATACTTGCCGTTCCATTTTTATGAAAAGTGACTTTGTAGTTAGGGTTTGTATTTCCAGACCTGGACTTTCTATTATTGAATTTTTCTCTTCATCTGTAAGTTCTTTGACAGGTTTTGACAATGGTTCTGAACTTTTTGTTTTGTGTGTCAAATCTACCGTTTCAACTTCTTCCGGTCATTTCATCTCAGTAAAAAATTTTAGTTTGGTTTGTTTTCAACTGGGTTGTTGAGGTTTTTTAAGTCGGTCTAAAACTTCCTGATGTATAGGAAGAACTTGACAAACACGGTTGTGAACTGCTGGAAGCGACAAATCCATCTTGAACCAATTTGTCTCAATGCTGTATTGTTCATTTCATCTCAGTAAAAAATTTTAATTCCCAAGTTTGAGGCGGTTTGAGGTTGTTATTTTTACCCACTGTTGTGCATGGTTATATCCTCTGTTAGAATATTTCACCTTGGTCCATATAGTGTCTCTGCTTGGTTAAGTAGTCATTTGCTTTTTTATATAAGTTTCCTGCTTGTCTTCCTACATTGCATGCCATCCTTACCTTGAACTTTCTCTTGTCTTCAGGATTTGGAATAAGATTTGTTGCATCTCGTGCTACATCCCAACCTTTTCTTGTACAGTTGTTTTATAACTAAGTTGTGCTTCTCTTTCAGTATACCTAATGTACTCAAAATACTTCCTTCCAACTTCAAATACACTCTGGCTAATGTGTCTCCACTGCGGGTAAAATCTAGATGCGACCCTGCAATCCAAATCACTCAATTTCTTATGGGTTAAAAAATGACAAATTCAAACAGGACCCATTTCTATGGGTTAAAAATGACTAAATCAAACAAGCGACCCAATAGCGACAAAGAAAGCACTCATGATAAAAATCTTTAGTTCAACACCAAATGCTTGTTTTATGGATATCTTGGAAAACATTCCGAAGTTAGAACAGATGGACCACCATACTGGTTAATATTGTTTGGTCAAAACACAAGATACTGTGAAGCCATACCATTATGGTCCAAAAATATTTTAGATGTGAAACTGCTTTGACAATATTCGTTGACAAATACCATCCAACAAAACTGACATCTGACTGTGAAAGTTCTTTCAAATCAGACGATGTAAAAAACTATCTGCGTTCAAAAAATGTAAACCAATATTTCATTGTCGACCAAAACCATTCTGCTCTTGGTGTCATTGACGGTTGTATAAAAATGTTAAGAGACTTAAACCAACCACAAGGTGGTGAAGCAAATGAAATGTCATATGACGACAAATATAGACACTTCTCCATGGCAAAGATGAGACAAGTTTTAAATATTTACAATAACCGTAAACAAAAAGGTTTGGGAACCACTCCCCCGAAGAAATGAAAAACAACCCTGACTTAGAGAAAGACTATATATTTAATAATTTAGTCAAAAGAGACAAACAAGAAAGAATGCCGGGCTTAAACTTCAGAAAGGTGACAAAGTAAAAATAGAAATACCTAAACGCGACCCATATGAAAATACTATTGACTATGACAACAATGGGAACCCGACAGGTACTCACAATTCGTGTTCGTAAAAATAGAAGAAAGTATACAAGAGAATATTATGAAGTTTTAGGCAAACATGGCAAAATGTACAGACTGCAAGCAGAAGATAAAACTACTATTGTCAGACCTCGTTTCAAACTTGTCAAAGTTCAAGGTGGTATACTTTCAAAGACAGTTCCTAACAAATATAAGACAACTCCTGACGAATATGCTAAAGAAGTTGAAAATGACGACTAAGCAATTCTATACCATGCGTAAACTGTCATGTAAGGTGGCATGTAGTCTTTACTTTGTCCCGTTGTTTGTGTATATCCTGAAACGAAATGTGAATGGTCTCCTCCTCCCTGAGTGTCACTCCAGTAACAATTTATAGCAACTGAACGTCGTCTTTAACATCATATCCTTTACTTTTTGTCATTCTTGACCATTCCCAATATCTATGCTTATGCCAACCTTCTCGAGATGTACTTAAATCTATGTAGTGACTGTGTGCAGGTAAGTTTTCACCTGAAATCGTTTTACTTCCACCTGTTTCCTTTGAAGAGTTTGCACAATACAAAAACCTGTCGACTATTTGAGTCCAAGTTCCAAAACCAAGTACACTTCTGGTCTGTAGAGAGTTCATTGAAACATATAATGAGCCAACCGGGTAAATAAGATTCGGCAAAATTTGTTTAAGCACATTGAGTTCCTGTCTTAGATGTATAATATTTTGTCATTAGACATCAAAGTATCTACAAGACTTGTTGCCGGTGGTATTGTTGGACCTTTACTTGGCAAGGTTGTGTTTAGTGTAATATCATCTGCTGTAAAGTTGTAAAACTTGTATGTGTATGTCCAACGTCACTTTCCTGTTTAAGGTTTCTTGTAAGTTTGTAATATTTGCAATGGTAATGTGTATGTCCAACGGCACTTTTCCTGTTTAAGGTTTCTTGTAAGTTTGTAATATTTGCAATGGTATGTGTATGTCCAACGTCACTTTTCCTGTTTAAGGTTTCTTGTAAGTTTGTAATATTTGCAATGGTATGTGTATGTCCAACGGCACTTTTCCTGTTTAGGTTTCTTGTAAGTTTGTAAATATTTGCAATGGTATGTGTATGTCCAACGGCACTTTTCCTGTTTAAGGTTTCTTGTAAGTTTGTAATATCAGTATAGAATGTATATGAGTCTTTTTAGAATATTCGTTTTCAGCTCTTGTCACTTCACTTGACATTTTATTGTCAACATATGTTTTGTCTGCTAGTTCAGGATGAGTATGTTTTTTGTTGCATAAGCTTTGTTAGCTCTTTCTTCTTCTTTTGCTATTGCATCGTCTACATATTCTTTGTCAGCTTTTGTTGTCAACATCTGCTTTCAAAAGAAGTTCATTTATAGGTTTCTCGTTTAAGTTCCTTTTGTTGGATTTATACAGACAGTATAGTTCTTATTGTCTTGAAATAGAAACTCATCTGTCATTGGGTTTAATGTCAGTTTTAAGTTTCCTTCTTTCAATGACTCAGATATCTTAGAATAGTTTGAAAAGTTTGTTGTGTTCTTATTTAGAGCTTGTATAATGAGTTGTCGGTTGTGTTGTATTTCTCTCATAGACGCTGTTTCATTTGACATTTTTATTCTAGATAAAATATGCTTTCAATAGAAGAAAATTCTAGAGTTGCTACAACTAAACCATTAGATGAACTTTTTACTAATGTCGGTCAAAAGTTTGAGACAGAGACCGTAAAGCATGAAGGCTATCGTTTTGACTACCCGTTAAGATGGTTAAGAGACCCATCCGTCACAAAAGCTATTGGCTTTCGTAGAATGAAGTTCATTTCAGAAGCCATACATGGTTTCCCATTTACAGTCCGGTTTTGAAGTTCGATACTATAACAAAGAAAAACGTACGTATGAGAAATTTGAACAGGGAAAACTTTTACAAGTTAGTTTGCTTGTAAACTTAGAAACAACTCTTCAAGCTTTCAAGAAAAAATAAACGATATCTATATCGAATATGCAAACCAGTATAAATTGACAGAAGGAGAATACCATCTCGATATTATTTATGAAGGAAAAATGCAACTGTTAAAATCAATAGAATAGAAGACCTTGGAGAAAACGTTTATATTTCTACAAAATATAACAACTTGGCATGGTATAGATTTATGAGGATGTTAAATCAGCCTGCAGCATATCCAGTACCCCAGACTTTTATGAAGTCGAAAACCCTAATGGAACATATAAAATGTTTTCGACCCAGCTGCTATTATTGTTCATGCTTCATTTTCTGGCGCCCAAAACTCTTTCTTATGCTTGGCAAATGACTTTTACGAAAAACTACAAAGTTATACGAACCACCAAGTGGAAGTATTTCAGACTTTCAAGTATGGTTTACTACAGATGGAAGAAAAAGAATAATTCCATTATACCATGCGTTTTACTTAGAACTTAGTTTCATATACAACTACTATCGAACGGTAAAAATATAATTTTTTAATACGGTTGAGGTGTTGGATTTGGTTGCCAACTTGACTGTGGTGCAGGTTCAGGCTGTTGTATAACAGGAGCTTGTTTCTTCTGGTTCAGGGTCTTTAGGTATAATACCAACGAACTGACCTACTCTTTTACCAATATTTTTGACTCCGTTCCAAATTCCTCTTCCTACGGTTTTATTTTCCATTCCATATACCTCTTCCAACATTTCGAAAGAAGTTTCCAATACTACTGAAGAAACCCATTTTACTATATGTAAAAATCTAATGTCCGCCTAGTCTCTTACGTTTCCTGTTGAGTTCCATAGCATTCTTTAACTGGAGCTCATACATTCTGTTTCTCCTCTGGTAGAAAACATATTCTGGGTCAACTCCTGTGTTCGCGTCATCTGCATAAAGTTGTTTATATCCCACTTCAGGGTTTGTATAAAACTCTTTCCATCTCAATATTTGCATACCATGGTGGCAAACCTAACGCAGCGTCATTTGACATGGCAGTTTGCATTTGTACATTGTTGGCACTTGACCATAGTTTGCCATTGCAGTTTGTATTCTAACTTCATTTGGAATATTCTCTGGGTTTGGTTGTCCAGGTTGCTGTGCATTCGCTAAGTTCTGTGCGTCCATTTAATATTAGATAAAAATATCTCTTACGAGTACATATGCTGAACATTTGCAGGCATTGGTTCATCTTCATATTCTCTGTTTTTCTGCCACGTCAAATAAATAAATGACACAATGGAAAAAACCTAAAAAAGTAGTCCTATTTCAAACCACACATTTACTTACTAGTAAAATTTCTTTGTTATGACACTTTCTCTCCGGTTTATAGGACCTCTCTCATTTCTATCTTGTCATATCTAAACTCATAGTCATGTATGTCCTCTAACCATCTCATAACGGTTTCCAAACCACTTTTATCGGATGTAAAGTAAAAGCATGGATGGTTATGTAAAACGTCTAAAGTTTCTAAAGAGTCTCTCAAAGTCCAGTCTACTTGTATTGAAAATCCCATGTGTTATAGAACGGCGGGTCCACTATAAAGAAAACATTTTCCTTGTCTTTATATTTTTCATACAACTCTGTCCAACGACATCTCACAAACTCTATACCTCAATATATTTTTCTATGTCCTCTTTGAAAACATTTGTATAGTTAAGATATAAAACATTTGACATAAGTGTTTCAATGTCATGAACTCTTATAGAACCACTATATAATAGTCTAGCAGATATACTATCCCAGTCTATATATTCTGCTTTTTTCAAAACCTCTCTCACAATATTTTTCTTATCTAATGGTAAGCTTCCATCTTACCTATAGGTATCTTTTCTTTTAACGCTTTCAATATATTGTTTGTGTCTGGTATATGTTTGAGACGGTCCATATAGTTGTCGAAGTCATTGCATATAACTTTGAGTCTGGGAATATTGTATGGCACAAATGGGAATATATAGAAAACTTCCACCGAACAAATCTACAAATGTTAGACATTCGGTAGTTTCTTAAGTTCTCTCAATATAATATCTTTACATTTACTCTTATTTCCAAAGAACGGTAACGGTGGTTTTGTAAAATTCATTTATATAATAATAATAAAAATGTTTTTTCCCTGAAAAGTGACAGAAAAGGCTTCTCAAGTATACTTCCTTGGAACGCCTGTAACTTTTCCTGTAGCGACGATAGACCCTTACTTGTCCGGATAAAGTTATACTATTTTGAGTGCTCTACCAAAAATTTTTATGGGCTAGAGGGCGCAACGCGCCTGGAAGCCCCAGTACCCAAAAAACTTCATTTATACTAACATCTTCAGGGCTAGAGGGCACGAAGTGCCTGGAGGCCCCACTACTTTTTTTTTTTTTTAGATTGAATGTAGCGTCACAAATTTCACAAATATAAATTTACTATACAATTTTATTCATTTTTTTAAAATGGCTGACGACAGTCTGTATCAACTAACTCAACTAGTCAAGCATAATGATTATTCTTCGGATTCATTAAATCAACTTTATCAATGCATAAGTACAATGACAAAAGATCAATTGATGCTTGAATTGGGATAAATTTTTCAAAAAAAATCACAGTGACTGATGAAGTTCTTTTACATTTTTTAGCATCCGTTTTAAAACATTGAAAAGATATCAGAATGTTTCAAGATTCTATTTTTAATCACAATATTAATCTTGAAAAATTCAGTAATTTAACTGAAACAGAACAACAAACAATTTTAAATTCCTACAAAGCGGATAAATTTACATATTACATAATGTGCTCACAAATTGTAAAATCAAACTGGAACAATTTATCCCAAACTTTAGTTAATATTGCAAATCAATATTTTGCCATTTTTAGATGAGAAAAGCAAATATATATATTTACTGAAATAACTGGCAATTATCAAAATTTTGAAAATTTCAGTTGCAAACTTGTTACTTTTTTATGAAAACAATGAAGAAAAATTAAGCAACTGTTTTAATTTAACATTGTTCAGCAAATTTATTTCCAAAAATGGAATCGAGCAAATGATATTTTTTGCTGCAAATACAATTTGTTGCAATAACACTTCTATCAATTTTTACAATCTCCTTGAAATTGAAGAAATGAATCCATTTGATTTTTTTTTATTTCTCAATTCAATATAAAGAGATATTAAATTGCGATGATTTTCCAAAAGTTACAGAAGTAATCACAGGTTTAATCTCAGCTTTCAAAATATTAATGCTATTATGCGAATTTGCCAAAAAATTTTGGATAAAATTACATTTTATAAATGTAATTATTGCCATATTACCTCAATATGGAATTTTTATCACAAATGCAGCAATAATTCTTCCTGATGAAGATTTATCAATCAAATTATTAAAATTCATAGAAAAAACAGAAAAAGCAACAGATGAATTATTCGAACCGGAGAATGATTTGGGTTTCTATGAATATTTAAATCCGATTTTCTCAGATATTACATCTGCGAGAAATAAGCAATTTTCTCTTGGAATTTCTAAATACCCATGAAGATGACTTCACTTATGATCAAAACATTGTGAGGTCATTTTTGATCAACAAATTAATTGAAATTCCGATCAAAAAAAAATTCACAAATTGGATCAAAAAATCGAATCTCAAGTTAAAAATAAAAAATTTCTACATTTTTATCAAATTTAGATTTTTTTTTCAAATCATGGCGAATTGATTGAATAATTGCATATTTTATCCCATGCATCTAGAAGTATGTGTAATATTTTTGCTTTCATCAAGAAATTGTCGAATTTGATCTTAATTTTTTTTGAAAAATATACTTGTAGAAAAAGAAATAGTGATTGAATAGCTGCCCATGCTGTAAAATGGTTATTTTTACAAAGTAAAAAAATTGTTATTTTTCGAGCAAGTCGAGGCTTTTTTACCATCTTATTTTTGAAAAATTTACGAAAAATTATATTGAAAAAACGCTTCATTTTGATATCTTACAATGATAAAATACCAATGTTGCTGGGATATAATAGCTACATCTGGACATCTACTACATTAATGCGTATGACAGGTAAAGTTGATTTCAAAAGTATAGCCTGGAAAGATTACAATAAATCAACGATAATTCAAAAAAATTTCTATATAAGTTAACATAATAAAAATTTAATTTTTATATTGCTTGTATTATACTTAAGTATATAATATATTTAAATCTTAGAATGAAAATTCGGGACGCCCTAGCTATTCAATTTCCCTTAGGACGCGCCCATAAACCTTCAAAAATGTGATGTAAATATCACAATTTTTGAGAAATTTACATTAGGACGCCTTAGGACGCAACCCCCTTTTTTACCTAAGAATATGCGGCTTGAAGAGCACACAAATTTATATAAATCAAAGTTACCAATCAAACTCATTATCTATATGAAAATTAAATTAACTTTGATAATTTGAATCTGAATTGAACACTGATTAGACTATTTTTATGGTTTGTTTGAAAATCATAGCTAATGTAAGTTTTATTTTATAAAAAATTAAGTCTCAAAATTCAATTCAGGGAAAATCGAGATTTTTTTGGAGTGTTTATCGAACATTTATATTCTAAAAAGTATTTTTATGGCATACAATATTCAAATGTTACATTAGTTAGTGTGAATGAAAAACACTTCGTAACGTCGCAACCAAATTATTTGTCACTTTTTAAGAAATGCTCTTTTCATTCCTTTCTCTTTTCCTTGCCTTGGCATCTTCACGCCGTAGGCCAGGAAAAAGATTACACAAAAGTATAAACGATCCAGTTCGTTATATGCGTGAATTAGAGTTCCGAATACTATTGACCAATATGACTTAGCGCTTGTTCTTTTCTACGATAAGGATAATGATGACTGCAAGAGAATGATTGAAGGATATCGTTACGCCGCTGAAAGATCGCATGGTAAAGCAGATTATATTGTTTTGAGTGCTCGTCACGCCACAGATCTTGCTGATGAACTTGGTGTTGATACATATCCAGAACTCTTTGCATTTAGATATGGAACACAAATTGCAAAGCTTCCTAACACTACACAAGGAAGAGAAGCATATTTCTATGTTTGCAACGTCACTGCTTCTAAATACAAATACGTAAATCAAGTTGATGAAGCACGCTCCATCGTTGAAAAGATGAATGCTACAATTATCGTTGCTCTTCCTGATATCAACGCAAAACTCGATAAAATCTTGTCAATTGTCAGTGCAAAATTCATGAAGAAGTCACATATGTGGGTCACACAAACAGCCGAGCTTGCTGATGCATTCAATGCACCTTTCCCAGGAATTACGATTATTAGAACTCAAGATGATAAGAATATCTCATATCCTGGCGATCCATTTAAGATACTACCAAATCTCTTTCCGATTTCATCGAAAAGAACATAGATTCCAAGTATGAAATCATGAAATTCCACATTTAACGCAGTTAGCAACGATAACAAGGCCATGTACTTCGCCACAATCTACGACTTCTCTAATCTCAAATGATGGCCGAAGTTCGCCAAGTTCTCGACAGAGTTTCCGAAAAAATCAACACCGATGAGTCTACAAAGATTCCAATTCGCTACGGCGATGCTACAGCCCTCAAAGTCAACCTCTCCCGCCTCAATATTCAGAACTTCAGCCTCCCAATTTACGGATTTTTCCAAGTCGACCAATACAACTACAAGAAGTGGATTTTCAAAGGCAATCCATCACCTAATGCTGTTGCCCTGTTCGCGATGGACCATCTCCGTGGAAAAATCAAAGAAACCCTCATCGAAACTCCAGTTTCATCAACAAGAGCCAGATACCCTCTCATGACATTCTCCGGAGCCGATCTTAAGAAGCAGTTAGAGAATACTGAGAAAGATTTCATTGTCAACTTTTACGGATGGCCATGCAAGAACTGCCAAGAGGTAGAAGACCTGTTTTACGAGACAGCGACATGGGCAAAGAAGTCTTCCATCTCCCACGTCGTTTTCGCTACAGTAAACGCTTCATGCAACGATATCCCTGTTACAATCTGGAGAAATGAGACTTATCCTTACGCATGGATGTTCCCAGCCACAAATAAGACACATCCATCCCAATTGGAAAGCGGCAGAAGCTTGTATTTGATGGCACAGCTTTTGAAGGATAATTCAACGCAACCAATCAAAGCTGCATGCCTCCAAAGCCAGAGTGGACACCAGAACAGTTAAGGATGACGAACTCTGATTAATTTAGTTATTTTCTTTCTTTTTTTCTTTTTGTGAAGCGAAATTATTTTTTTATAAAAATTAATATTATTCAGTTTTAATTTCACTTTCTTTAAGACCTCATATATGATAGAAAGATCTAATTTTACAATATTTTTAATTTAATATGAAGAAATTTGCTTTAAATAAGTCCATCTTATAGATATCATACTTTGTTTTCTTTGAATAATCTAAGTGTATAAGATTGAAAGAAGGAAACTATATTTTTGCATATGATTTTGAATTTGATTATAAAACTTTATTATTTAATGCTTCTCTATATAAGAATTTGAAATAACATCTCTTTTACTGTAAGTATTCTCATGGAAATATTCTAATAATGGCTCAAATGATGTTCTTAATTTTTCCATGTTAAAGGTAATAAATCGATGATTTGTTTGGTATAAGCAAGATATCGAGTTGTAAGATTGATTTGAGAATTTTTTGAATTTGCATAAAAAAATGATATGAAAAAATTTTTTTTTATCTCATTTGAAATGACAGATCCAAGTAACATCAACAGATTAAAGATATATCAAAACCAAGCGATGCAACAGCAGTAACTTACTTCAGAGACTTTGCTTTGGTCGTGATAAAACAGGAAATGTTTACGTAGCGTCGAAAACAGATAAAGAGGGAAATCATCATTTACAATTATAATACACATTATCTCCAATAATCAGAAACCATCTTATTAAGACACTTATCCCTGTTGAAGACCCTTGCGTCATGATTGTTCATTATTACAACACTTGCTGACGCTCCAGGTCCAGTAGAAATTGTCAGACCCGGTGAAAATTCGCACAACCAAAAAAGTGATTAGTATTTTTTAAAAAAATATTTTTATTTTTATTTAAGAACATGTTAGCAACAACAGCACCAAACTCGTTAGTCATGAACCCAACTTCAATGTTAGTTGAGATGAAAAGTTCATTCCTTCTTCATATACTTTCGAAACAGAAATCCAGAAGATAAAGCAGGAACTTCTCCAAGGAGATTTAGATTGCACTGCAAAAGATGAAACAAATGAAGAATATCTTTATGACATGCAGGATATTATTGACCATCTACCTAAACTTCCTGAAATCCAACAACAAAAAGCTTACTATTCCAGAATTTGAAGAAATAGAAGTCAAAGCAACTGACTCAGTAGAAATAAAGAAGTTCATACGTAAGGTTAACTATGAGTTTCTTGGATTTCATTGCAACCACAAAGTCATGGACAAAACTGCGATATGGTATATTTCATTGACATATATAAATCTGAAGAATTTAAGACATACGACAACTTTGTTTCGTTAGTTGCAAATGTGTATGGCAGATAAGAGATAAAGATAGAAGAGGTAAAGTATGGAACGAACAAATAAAACCAGCAACTTTTGAGTTAAAGAAAACCATTGACGCTATAGTTGTACTTGCAGGACAAATTTCAATGTACAATGCTAAAATGAACCCACAATGTTCTAAATGTAAAGCAGCAATGAGAAATATAACTACTCCGTCAAAGAGATAGAACGTATGCGAAACGACTATGCTGACTTAAAGAAAGAAGCGAGAGAAACCAGCAGAAGATAAAATGGACATGTTAGAATTTCTGAACAAAAACTATCCAACAGCTGACGATTTCCTTCTTTCAGATGTCAAGAAGAAATATAAAGAAACATTCGGCATTGTTAAAACTTTTGACATACTGACAGAGGAAATCGAAGCTACAAAACTGTTTAGGATTTCAAATATACATCGTACAATTCATGTAAACGCTTATAAAATAACTGGGGTGAAAAATTAGGTGAAAAAACAGGTGAGATCTCACCTCTTCACCTAAAATATATTTTTGGGTCATTTACGCTCATGTTTGACAAAACATTTACACTCATTTCGATGAAATCATGACAAAACATATACGAAGAAGTTTATTTCCTGTTGTTGTCAAAATGTCATGTTGTCACCATTTTCAAAAAGATGTTAGTTGACCGAGTGACCGAGTGACCTGGTGACCCTCATGAAAATTCAAGAGGTGAAAAAACATATACGATGAAGAAGTCTTGACAAAACATATACGATGAAGAAGTCTTGACAAAACATATACGATGAAGTTTATTTCCTGGACTGTTGTCAAAATGTCATGTTGTCACCATTTTCAAAAAGATGTTAGTTGACCGAGGGACCGAGGGACCGAGCCTGGTGACCCTCATGAAAATTCAAGAGGTGAAAAAAGAGGTGACAAAACATATACGATGAAATCATGACAAAACATATACGATGAAGTTTATTTCCTGGACTGTTGTCAAAATGTCATGTTGTCACCATTTTCAAAAAGATGTTAGTTGACCGAGGGACCGAGGGACCGAGGGACCTGGTGACCCTCATGAAAAAAGAGGTGAAAAAAGAGTGAGAAAAGAGGTGAGATCTAACCATTACCCTACCTAAAATATATTTTTGCTGAAAAAAATGACCAATTTCATGAATTTCCTCATATGTTTGCGACCCGAGGAAAACCGAGGGTCCAGATTCGTACGAAAATCGTAAAAAATGCGAGTACGTACAAAAACGTAGTCGCCTAAAACTCATGAAAATCGTAAAAAAAATGACCAAATTTCATGAATTTCCTCATATGTTTGCTACCCGAGAAAACCGAGGATAGAGATTCCGTACGAAAATCGTAAAAAATTGCGACCCAGACTTTTTTCGGGGTCGCCAAAACTCATGAAAATCGTGAAAAATGCGAGTACGTAAAAAATCTTACTCGCAAAACTCTATGAAAATCGTAAAAAAAATGACCAATTTCATTATATAACTGTTATTTTTTTACGAAGAGAACTTTGACACTTCGTCAAAAAAATCCCTGAAATCGTAAAAAAATGACCAAATTTCATTATATACTGTTATTTTTTACGAGAAGAACTTTGACACTTCGTCAAAAAAATCCCTGAAATCATATCTTTTATACAGATAGAAAAATAAAGTTAGTTTTTTGTAAAATATTTTTTTTTATTTTGTATGTAAAGACAGAAAATGACAAACACTGAGTTTGAAACAGTTAAAAAGATAGACAATGACACCAAAAATGGTTAGAATTGGTGATTTAAACGTAAGATACTCAAAGAAATACAACAAATATTCTTTGTCAGACATTTTATCTCCATTTGGAAAGAAAGCAAAGGACTGGGTTAGAATTGCTTCTACTCAGAAAATTTTGACAAGAAATCCTGAGCTTATGATATCGGTAAGATTCTATGGAACTGCAGCATATCTTATAGACAAAGTCTTATACCAATAGTTTTGTTATGGTTAGACCCAGATTGTTGGATATAACTTCATAACATATGGTTCATTCGATACGGAACGTTGCAGTGAAGGCTTACTTTACATCGTTCAGAAACGAAGGACTTCATACAAAAAGATATAAGATAGAAGAACATATAATATAACTCAAAAGATATGACAGTACAGTCAATAAAGTCAATGTGTTTCGTTAACGATATGGAGCTGCTGAACAGAACTGCTTGAAGTTTTTGAGAAAATGTATGGTGCTCCCGAAAGGTATAGAAGAAACGTTTGAAGTAGATGAGATAGGTAAAGCTATAAAATTATTTGACGAAGTTGCTGAAAAATACATGTAAAGCGTTTATTTTTGGTCTTTTGTGAAAGATAAGAAAATAACGCTAATTTTTTATAAAAATATTTTTTTTATTTTGTATGTAAAGACAGATATGTCAACAACAGAGAACACAACAACTGCTATCGTCATGAAGCCATAAATGAAGAATATGAGTGGTTCAGTTTAACAAACAACTCCGTCTCATTCGTTCGCGTCAAAGACGATATGTACCAAATGCAAAGTATTTTGACAGCATGTTTTGCTCCAGTATTACCAACTACAGACGACTGGTTCAGAAACCAAAGCCAGCAAGAACTTTTAGCAGTGAGAATTTCTCTAGACCGAGAATTCTCTCGGTCTTGCTAAAAACACATGAAAATCGTAAAAATTGCCAATAAATTTTAAGAGGTTGGTATGTTCATAGACTTTTTAGTAAATGCTGTTTGCAATATGCGCTTCGCCTCGCTTATGCTTGGTATATTTACAGACTTCTTGACGAAATTCAAATAGACAATGAACGTGAAGAGATGGAAAAGAAACTTCATGCAAAAGATAAGTCATCTGAAGCAAAAGATGAAGTCATTGAAGGCAAAAGACAAAACCTTCACAAAAGAATACACGTTCGGTACCAAAAGGAAAGGAAAAGAACTATAAGTATATGATTCTATACTGAAGAGATGGAAAATACAGCAAGACAGAGATCATTGGTTATGTTGCATTTAGTCAGAAGAAACAACAAAAGCTTTTACGACCTTGCTAAGATTACAAATCTGACAGAAATTGGTTCTATACCGCGAAACTTTACCGATTTCATGACACCTGAATGAAGATGTGAAACAAATAGTTCAAGATACTTTACCTCAAACACACTATGATATTAAAAGGTGTATCAATACGTTACCTTCAAAGAAGATTTGCCGTACTGAAATGGAAAACATAACAGAGTATATTTGACAACTTCAAACAACGCAGAGTAAAATGAGACCATTTATTTTTCAAAAGCTTGACTTCAGATGGCTCAGGTAGCTCTATAAGGGGTAAATGTTTCTTTGTCAAATTCCTTTCTGGCATTCCGAGTATTCTCCTCTCAGTCTGGTTTTGAAGTTTGTCTTTCAGTTGTTGGTAGTCGTTTTCGAATATCTGCAACAGAACTTAAGTCTCTGCTAACTTCAGGATATGTTGGTTGTTCTTTACAGGAACTATTGTTATACCATCTTCGTCTTCGTATGGTTTCCCCACTTCAACATCTCTCTCTTTGACATTGACAACAACACTTTGACTGTTTGTTTGAGTTGGTGAATTTAACTTCACATCTGCCACCGCCATTAAACCTTTTGAAACACTTACGCTTCTATTTTTCGGA